TTCCTCTTTCCCTGCCATAATAGAAAACATTTCCCTTGCAGCACTTGAATTTTGAATGAATTTCATTAAATTTTCAACAACATTTCCATAAGTCTTCGCACACAATTTTCCATTTACTTGATGGAACTGCAATTTGGCAATTAGGTAGACAGACAGACAGACAGCCAGGCAAACAGAGAGACAGTTCGTCTCGACAGCCCTTCATAGTGCAAAATATTTGCTTAGTCAAGAGTCAAACAAAATACACTTAAAACGTCAAGATTGTGACAGCTAAACGGCCCACCCACTCGCTGCCGCAGAGCTAACTCTGCCACGCCCACACACGCATTAACAAGAGGCGCCAAATTAAGCCATAAATTTCAGACGGAGCTGGACCACCAGCCAAGCGGCAGGCAGGGCAGGATTCGTGTGTAACAAACAGCAGGAGCTCGATGGAGACTATGTGGTCTATGGGTGAAACGCCTCTGCAAGAGACTTGCAACTGTTGCAACTGTGCCCCCGCTCCAGGGGCAGCTCCTCTGCGCCCCAGTGCCATGATAGCTCGTTTAATAAGGAGCAAGAGAAAACATATATTCAAATTTAATTAGTCTTCAAGCGAAGAAGTAATATTTTTACAATCTGGTAAATTTCGCAGCTGCAACGAAGTGGGTTGCCAGTTGTTGTTGTTGTTGCTGTTGCTGTTGCTGTTGATATTATGAAAATATGAGCAGCAAGTGGGCTGCTGTGCGCGCTGTCCGACTGCATCCACATCTGCATTCCAGACGAGTCAACGGCAAAATAGCAAATAGCGAATAGCCAGACGCAGAGCATGTGGGATTCAGACGCGACGGCACTTAACGACGGCATTGTTGTTGTTGTTGTTGCTGTTGCTGTTGCTGCTGCCACATCAATTGCAGCTGAGAGACCTGCCTGCCACATCATCAACTGCTCGCTGCCTGCTGCCTGCTGCTTGCGTCGGCGTACGCATGATGCGTTCTTGATTGGCTTTGACTCCAGCGACGCCTCTGTTGCAGTTGCAGCCGTGGACCTCTGGCGACCCCCAGTGTCAGTGGCATTGCGTGTGACATTGCAGCATCATCTATGTGGCAACTGCACCATATTCATTAGCAGCCGTTAAATGCTCGCTTAATCATGCATCATGCGCGCAGAGGCAACTCAAGTGGCATCAGACCCCGGCAACGATACAGAGGCAGCCTCTGTTACAGCCAGCGACTGCTGCTTGCAGCGGCTGTGGCAATCTTAAGTGAATTTGTGTTGCAATCTGCGAGTCTTAGATGCAGCAGCAGCAGCAGCAGCAGCTTCCTTTCGCTGCCACAGCTCATGATGACATCTATTAATCAGTTTTATATGCATCGCATGCCTCGTCTGGCTGAGATTGCGGCAGCTGGCAAAAGTCTCAAAGCCTGCAAATCGAAAGAATGCGAAACGGAGAAAAGCCAACTAGAGAATAATTTATATTGGTAGAGATTTAAAGTGGTAAGAGATGAAGATATTCTTAAGTTACTTAGGAATGTTTATATGAGCAGGAGAATTATGAAAAATCAGAGGAAGGGAGAGAGAACCGCATAGAGAGAAGGGGAACAACAGAGAGAGAGAGAGCAAGTCAGAAAAACACTGTGAATGAGAGAAAGAGAAATGGATTGAGACAGAGAGCGGGAAAGAGAGAGAGAGTAAGAAAAAATTCAATAGATAGTGATAGAGATAAAGATACTTATACAAAGAGGAAGAAGTAGAGATAGATTCATAAGGAAACTGATGTTGAGAGAGAGAGAGAGAGAGCGAGAGATAGATAGGGGGAGAGAGTTTTAAAAAGAGACATGCAGTGAGAAATTAACAGAGAGACAAACAGAATAGAAACCTTTCAGCTAGAGAGGCAATGATAGTCCTAGCTGATACTAATGATGGGTAAGTCTAGTAAGTGCAAGAGAGGTAAAATGAGAAAGAAAGAAATGTGTCAAATATATGTATACATAAAAACTGTAAGCATATGGATAGAACGTATTTATGAGAGATATAGATGCATGTCAGATTATTTATCATCCAAGTTTGATCATAAAATCCAAATGAATTGCCTTAGAGCTGTTTAATGGTTTCATTGTCTCGATTGCTTGGACAGTTTTATGGACCACCCTTGGCAACGCGTGGCTCTCACGCTCGGCCGCTTGTTTATATTAATTTATTTCATTTTGTTGCCAATTTGTGAGCAATTCAAAGGATCTAAACTAATTTAGCAAATTGATTGGAGGCCGCATCCCGCCCAGACTTAGGCAGAGCCGGTTCGCTTACAAGCCATAGAAATACGAATCAAACAAATGCGGCAATTAAATTTTCATATGCGTGCCACACGACCAGGACGCACGGAGTGCCGGATGCCGAGATCTGAGCTCTGAGACGGACGTGCGTCAATTAGGGGCAAGCTTTGGTGGTGGTTGCTCAGCGACACCGTCCGCTGCACACACGCCCACTTGGAGGCATGCCACGTGGCCGCCGCATTGTGCATTGAGTCAATAGAGGTCGGCCGGGGTGCGAGTCTCATTAGCGTGGAACCAGGTAAAAGCGCTTGAAGCCAGCCACGTGGCAGCTGCGCTGCCCAGAGCGCAGCTCCATGCGAGCGCCTGAATGGGAACTGAAAATGTTTTCGTGTTGTGTCACCGAACAAATGTTGCACCGCTGACCCAATTGCCACGCCGGGGTCAATGATAATTTCAGGAGCTTTTGGCCGCGTTGTTATTCGTGCGCTCGCCGAGATCGTGAGCCAGCGCTTGGGCGCTCCTTCAACTAAATAGGAAAAAAATGCAGACAGCTGCACGTGGTGGGCCGCCGGTGGTGGTGGCGCCACAGCCACAGCGAGCGTTGCTCCTGACATATGCAAAATGCGGCTGCCATAACTGGCAACTGCCAACTGACTCTGCCTCACAATAGTTGCAATTGCAATTGCCTTTTCTCATGATTTGACTGCGATTTGCATTGGCTTCATGGAAATCTGTCAGCGAGCCACAGATTTATGGCAACGGCTCCAGTTGCCGCCAATGTGGGCGTCACATTATGTTGCCACAGGAAAGAAGACAAGCCGAAGGTGAAGAGGAAAATCGATAGACGAGCGGAAAAGTCTACAAAGCGTCTGCGTTGCCAACGCTCTCCTCCTCCGCCCACTGAGAAGAGAGAGAGAGAGAGACAGTTGCATATATTAAAGTCGGCAAATTAATTCAAAATGGCTGCCTTCAAAAAAGCGAGTGACATGCGCGCAGAGAGCGAGACAGATAAAGAGAGAGAGAGAGAGAGAGAGAGAGAGAGAGAGAATGTGTGTGAGCGTAGTCTCCACTCAGTCTTGGTTGCCAGGCAACGTCAGGCCAGGCCACTTGGCTGGGGGTTGCTTGGCGCCCGGAGGGTAGGCCGGGTGGCCCAGGGACGTCCAGGGTTGCCACGCTTCGTAAACGCTGGGAATCGATTGCAGTGGACACCAGATGCAAGCTATTTCGTTGGCTCAACCGATTTGGTACGGTCTGATTGGGTCCCAATGCTATATGCGACAACTGGATGAACAAACCCTATAGGCAGTACGTACGTCCGTATATCAACCCGGTTTAACCACCTTACAATGCCGCCGCCTGCCACTTGACAGCTGCGCTTTGTGGCAGGCAATCAGTGCACGTGACCGACACACGAGCCGATGTTCTGCTCATTAGGAGAGGCTGACAAGCGTTTTGCCAATCGCGATATGATCATCAAAATGCCAAATCTCTCGCTCGAGCGACAGCAGCAGCAACAACAACAACAACCCTCCTTTAACAGCCCACTGTGATTAAGTCCACTAAGCTGCTGTTGCACAGTGGGAAAGTCACGCCAGTGGCATGTCACAGACGGCTGCCACAACTGCAGCAGTTTACAGCTCATTGCATTTCATCACGCTTTGTGTTTGTGCAGAGCAGGAGTGGGACAAAAGTCAGGCCTGATGATATTTGAATTGATCTTGCAGCACTCGAGAAAGGAATTCACAGATCTGCTAGGAAATTTCCTTTGTTGACTCTAAGAGCTATATCTATTCTATATATAAATTTGGTTTATTATGTCTGCCTGAGTCTAAACAAAGTTTTCATTTGAAGCAATGAAAAGAAATTGAATTCCAGAGAAGATTGCGAAGGCAGAAGAAGTTTGACCTTAGCTAGGTAGATTCTTTAACAGGAAAACCCACAATTCACATATAAGAATCGACTTTACCCTAGAAATTTCAACATTTTTTTATTAAATTTTTTTTAAACAATTATTAAAGCTTTTGATAAAAACTTAAATAGAATTTATTGATACAAATTTAAGTAGATATTAATATACCCAACTCGCATAGGGTATTTATGCTTCGTTTAGACTTTCGCTCGGCAATTTCCTTTTGGGTTTTGCATGTTGCCCGTCTTGTATCCTCGGACCACGTAATCATGTTACGACACACAGCCTGACATCAGAGTTTCAGCAAAAGCGATTAATATCGCACACGACACGAAGCTGGGCAGGAGCAAGACTCGAAAGTCCAGAGTAAAGACTCCAGACTCCAGACTCCAACTGGTAACAGCAGCAGCTCCCACAACAAATGGCAGGAACATGATGCCAACTCTGACTCTGACTCTAGCTTTTCCATACGATGCTGGCCATTGTTGTTGCTGTTGTTGTTGTTATTGTTGGTGGTGGGTGCTGGTGCTGCAGGCGGCCCCAAAAGATTTCGTTTAAAATGACTTAATGGCAAACAGCTCATAAATTCACGAATTTGCATAAACCGACTCGACTATTTGGGCAACATTGCAATTGCAGAGAGGGAAGCGCCCCTCGGGGCACATCCAACAGTCAGGTCGCAGCGAGTGAGTCAGCTGCAACAGCAGCAGCAGCAGCGGCAGCAGCAGCAGCGGCAGCTGAAACACGAGCTAGAGCTCTTGTGACTGGCAGCCTAATAAACACAATTAACTTCATCATTTTGAACTCAAATTATTTCATTTCAATGCGATAAAATCGCAAATCACGAAGCGGCAGCCAAAGCGAAAGCGCGGCTCTAACCAAAATAAACGAAAAGCCAGCCGAACAGACAATAGAGTCAGATACAACAACAACAGCAACAACAACAGCAACAGCAACAACAACGGACTATAACAGACAGAGATCGGTGAAAATTAAGTCAAACTGTTGCTGCAAAACGTTTTGCCAATCGGCTCGACCAATCGAACCGATCTCGGGACTTTGGCCTGTTGCACCCGCACCACCACTGAGCACCACCAAAGCCACTTTCAATTGCCTGGGCAGAGCAGCTGCATCGGGAATGAGGCTGGCACGGCCATAGGCCATAGGGATAGCTAGGGACGTGTTGAGGCTGGCATGGATGGAGTCTCTTTGGGCAACGAAGGTACAGCATAATGTTGCATGTCGCGCCAATTGTGTACACGATTTGACTTGGCAGCCGGCTGACAGTGCTGCCCACTATGCTGTTGCCAGTTGTTGTTGCCGGTTGTTGTTGCTGTTTGTGTGTCAGCTAATCAGCTGGCAAGTATCTCATCTTCGAGGACTACTAGCAACTGCCAAAACAACAGCGCAACAAGGCACACGAAAAACTACCAAGTCATGTTGCCTGCCGACTGCTGATTGTTGTTGTTGTTGTTGTTGCTGGCGTTGCTCCTGCTGCAGTTGCTGTGATTGTTGTTGTTGCTGTTGTTGCTGGACTTTTGCAAATAAATCTCTTGGCCATGGCTGCTGTTGGCTGTTGTTGTTTTTGCTTTTGCCACGGCACCCAAAAACTTGGACACAACACAATCAGCCAGCAGCCCAGGCATGTATTGCTGCTGCTGCTGCTCAGTTGTTGTTGCTGCTGCAGTTGTTGGTGTTTCCTGGAAAGCGTTTCCTGCATTTAGCTTTGTTAGTTTGCTTTATAACTATGTTGGCGCTACAGTTCGTTGCTCAATGCAATTGTATATACCCTAGATCGAAGGCAAAGTATTTTAGCATATAGGTTATAATACAGTTATTCAAGAGAAGAAAGTCCTTCCACATAGTGTTAGCTATATATATTTAATTGAAATCTAAGGACTGCTCCAACTTCCCAATTGCAGTGCAGTCATCTGCCACCCACTTTACAGGGCATCTTCTAGTCGATCACATGGTACTTGGCGCACTTTTACCAGCCTGCGCTGATTTAGATCGTGTCCACCAACGAATTCGCTGGCAGTTGACTTTATGAGGGTCAATCAGGCTAACCAGAGTAGTCTGCAGCAACTGTCCAATGCCCGGAATGCGATCGTATCAGAAAACCAGGCACAGGTCGAACATTTTTTCAAGCCCATTGAAAATATTTCCACGTGATATTTGTTGTTGCCTGATTTTGCATATGCCAGCAGCAGATTTCTCTGACCCCATAAAGTGCAGGTATTTACTAATGTATATATATAAGTGTGCATTCTTAATCAGAATCAATATTAGGGATAATCTTAAATGGCTTTTATTTTTAATATATTTGGACAGAATTTTTAAAGCTTCAATTTAATTTACATTTATATAGATTTTTTATATTAAAATGTTTTTTTTTTATTCATAAAATCTCTAAAAATATTTATATACTAATCAAAATCTTACAATTTATTTACAATCATTTACAATTTATTTATTTCGATTAAGCCCTAAGTCAAAGTCAATTAAGTCTAACTAATTTTGTAAATATTTTATCTATTTGAAAAATGTATTTCTCAATTTCCAATCAATCATCACATATTTTCCATATCATTTCATTGTCGATATTCCATTCGATGCGATATGTATGTCTAACGTGATTTGACACCAATCCAAAAACATACTCAGTCTTTCGATGTTGTTGTAGGAATATTGTTATATTTCCCATTTTAGTGTAGGATATTCATTTAAAGTAATTTATTCAAACTGAACACAACAAATTTTAGTTTTTGTAAAAATTTTAAATTTCTTTTAAACCCGACATTTTGTTTTTATAGATTTCTCGATTTTTATATTCATTTCATAAATATTTTATCAATATGTACATAACGGCCCTCTCCCATATGATACTCGTAGGAGCCTGCTGCTACGCGCTCTACGCTCTGACGCCGGCCGAGTTCCCGTACGCGTATACAGCGGCTGCCTTCTGCTTGGTCCACGGACTGCTCGGGGTGGTGCGCACTCTTGAGGGGGGCGGGGAGTGCGATCGCACCTTTGCGGTGTCCTCGAACATTGTGGAAGTCATACCCTTGCCGCTGGCCAACATCGAGTTCTACTCGCACTCGTCGCAGTCGGGCGTGGCACTGGTGCACGCCCTCTCATTGATACTGCTGCTATACGACATGATGGGCAGCATGAGCGACGAATGGAGCAGCTCCACGGACACGGTGAAGGACATCTCGCTGTTGGGCAACATTGCGTCCGGCACATTCATTGGCGTACAGGAGGAGAACTATTTTCACGTGGGCGTCGCGGCAGCGGCGGCTGTTTCGCGGTTCGGGCCAACGGTCCTGTGCCCTATCC